ACTTCACCTCGTCCCACCAAGTGACACCTGCACAGGGAGGGCAATCCAAGTTCAGAGACTTGAGACCAAAACTCAGAGCATTTTCATCCATTCTGCTTCAGTGGGGGATTTTCACAGGTCTTTTTTCATCCCTGTGTTTGTGTTACGAATGTGGCTTTGGGACACTGCACCGGTTACAGACTTCTCTAGCTTAGTTCTTCTTTCCCTGCCCTTTTGGTAGCTTTCCTGGACTGTTCCTCTCAATCTGGGCAGCTCAACCCCCTCCACCAGCCTCTCCTGTACCCCAGGCCTCGGTTGCCACTCATAGCCATCGTTCTGCTCACCACGTGATCCTCTCTGTTGCCTAATTGCAATGGCTTGCGCTCCTTCCTCCAGCTGCTCTGCTGCTCCATGTCACCTGTGAAGGGGGGCACGCAATTCTGCTCAACTACGCATCAGCAGATTCTTCCTCTGCAAGATGCATCTCTGCTATTGCTTAGAGACCGGGAGCAAACTTTCAGTCTGTATCTCTGGAGAGAAGCAGGCAGAACAGAGGGCTTTCCTTCCATGTGGGGTGTGAAAATCAAGTCCTTCCACTGGCCACAAAGCCAACGAAGTGTGAGGTGAGGGCTGATCCGGGAGCTGCTCATTTCCTGCAGGCGTAGTGCTATGGAATAGCATTTTATTGACAGCTACCTGGGACAAAGGAAAACCAGACTGACAGCTAAATATATTATCAAAGCACCTCCAGTTCCTGCTTCTCACCAATGTAACAAATAGCAGCCAAGCAAAACCCAAACCCTGCATCCGCAGCCTTTGTCTTTTTGAGGGATTTTCTCTGTAAGAACCGGCACAGACCAGCTGGATCAAGGCATCACAGAACAGCCCAGAGAGCTGCAGACAGCATCTTACCTTTTCATCTATAGGCAAAACGGCAGGAGGAGAGAAAAAGTGCAAAGAGAATGGAAGGCAGCGCCTTCAGTCTCACTCACAGACAGCGGCGCTTTGATAACGAACCTGACAGACACATTAGCCACAATTCTGCTTTCCAGCAGGAGCCAAAGAACAGCTCGATGCTGTGGTGCTGCTCCTCAGCATCCAAATGCCTCTCAGGACCCCAATCCACAGCAGCAGCCAGCCCAGGGTGTGGGGATGCAGAGCACAGCAGCATTCTCACTGCTGATGCACCTGTTCTGCAACAGATGTTTTTACCCAGGGCAGAATTTCCTACGCAGAAATAAACGCGTATCAAGTCCAAAATTCATCCTCTTCTGAGGGGTGGTACTTCAATAAAGGAAACAGCCCAAGCACTCACCAAGCTGGCTGCTCCTGCAGCTCTCCCCAGCGCCACATCTGTGTCCTCTTTACTTCAGCCAACACTTTGTGTGCTTCCTTTGTGCACCCCCGGGATTATCAGCCACCTACTTCTCGAGGTAGCAAATCTGCCTATTGACGTGAAAATGTGTAAAGCAAAGATAAGGCCGTGGAGCTACCTGGGGTGCGAGCTCAGGGCTGACGAATGAGTTGCAGAGCTGTCTCTCAGCTAACACTTCTGATCTATTTTGGGTTAGCAGCGGATGGTCAGAACCCTGTAAGAGGCATTATGTTGTTTGGCATCTCGGGGAACTTCCCCGTGGGCAGTCCCTTTCTCTGGACTCACAGATATTATTACTATTGCTCTGCTCTCAGCTTGTAATCCTGCAAGGCAGACGTGGACTGAATGGATACACAGAAACTCATGTTTTTTTTCTCCCTGTAAATGCAGCTCTGTCAGCCTAGTGTGGAAAAAAAAAAGGCTGTGATGCTGCCACTGCTGCATTGGTTCATTCACTGCATGCGTTCATTCATGCATCTGACTGAAGCCACGATACATGAGAGCCTTGGCTTTGAGTTGTCACCCATGTTCTTCATGACACAGCAGAGAGGAACAGAACACTTCAATCCAGAAATGCATGTCAAGTTCCTTTATCACTCCTTTATCACTCCAGACCACAGATGATGCAGTTTTTATGCTCAAGAGCTGAACCAAGCCAGACCCAAGCATGTCATCTGGGACGCACTTCTCCTTGGCTCTGATAAGATCAGACTTTGGCAGCAGTGCATAAAGATTTCCTGGACTCCAGACAACCCCAGGCTGCAGCAACAGACAAAGCGTGTGCTCATCTACACGAGCGCTGTGTGTATGTGCATGTGTGGCACAGATGATGGACAATAAACCCAGCTTCGTGTGCCAGGCTCCCTGCAAATAAGGAGCCACTGGGTGATGGATTGGCTTGGGAAGGCCTGCAGCAGAATGGCCAGGGTAGGTTCCATGGTAGCCGACGTGCAGAGAGCTGGCTGGAGCCAGGAGGATGGCATTGTACAGATAAATGAGATTTCCCTTCCCTGCTGGGTCTCATTCCATCTGGTTTTCTGTTTCTGGAGGCAAATGCTGGGAAGCTTCACACACAGTCTGCCAAGAGAAGACCCTCCCATTTCAAAGGGGTCCCCCCAGCTTTCCAGAGTCTCCAAAAGCAGATGGGAAATTCTGAATGCACCCTCGTCTTTTCCTCCCCTAGGCACACGTAATTTCACTTTGCTCATCTCCCACATTTCTTGCACACTCGCTTTAATGAAGGATAACTTTATAAAGGGACGACAGAGCAGCCAAGTCTGCAGCTCACTGCTCTTCTGGGTCAAAGCTGTCCTCCTTTTGCAGGTTGCCTGCATCCATTGTCACCTCTTCTCCCAACCTACCTCTCAGATTCATCTGACTTCGTATCTTCTTCATCCATCCTGACTGGGAGACGTGTTCCTTCTGCAGATATTCAGGCTGGGTGAATCCGACAACACCACCTTTTGAAACATCTGTTTTTTCCTTTTGCTTGTTGCTTTCTCTTTCTGCCATCACCAAGCACTCTCTGCTGCCAGGACGACCACAGTCACGTTTGCTCTGTGCACCGATTGCAAATGGCAGCACGAAAATCATAGAATGGTTCGGGTTGGAAGGGAGCCTTAAAGGTCCAACCCTCTGCAGTGAACAGAGACACCCACAGCCCCATCAGCGCTCAGAGCCCTGTCCAGCTTGAACACAAGACAGGACATAGACTGAAGCTTGCAGAGGGTTCAGCAGAGCTGTAGGTCCCTCCACAAAACACCTCCCCGAGGCAACCTGCATTCAGCAAGTGCGTTCACCCCAAATGCCCCTCATTCCCCATTAGTGAAGGGCTGGGACTGGGTTTTGCTGCCCAGGTGATCCTAGCTGTGCCCCGTTTCCCTGGTGCCTACCCGCAGAGTGCATCCCTTGGAGCAGGGAGCGCAGCCCAGGGGACAGAGCCGCTGTTTTGAAGTGGAATGAATGAATATGCAGTACCCTCTGCTCCGCTCCCCTCCGGGACCTCTCGGAGCGGCTGACACAGCCATCACAGGCGACCCGCTATCAAACAGAGCCTCCCCTGCACGATAATGAGATTAAAATAGCAATGAGTCTGAGATTAGCATCTGAGATACAGTCGCTTGCTGTCAGCGCAGCGGAGAGGACTCTCCGGCTTTCCTCACAATGCCCGGTGACAAATGAAACGCGATCAATAGCAGAGCTCGTCGCTCAGCCAGAGGAAAGCACCGCCGGTGGGACGGGGAAAGAGGGGCGCAGTGACACGGGGAGGTGTGGGGTCACCGTCCTGGGAGGTGTTCAAGGAAAGGGCACAGCGTGGATGGGTTGGGGTTGGAGTTGATCTTAGAGCCCGAACGAGTCCGTGATTCTGAGATTTGGCCCCGTCCCCACCGCGATGTGTCCCCGAGCAGCGCAGCGCCGGGCTGCGCTGCCTTCCTCCTCTCTGTGTCATCCTCACTCTGAACCTGAACGCGTGGGACGAACGTTTCCTGCAAAAGACAGGAGATGGAAACACAGAACCGTTTCCACTGAGGCTGACGGCCGGCTCCAGGTGTGAATCGGATAAACATCCCTTATAAACCCCAAAGGATGAATTGCCGGCCGCAACGAGCCGTTAAGCCATGCCAAATTGATTTAATTCACAACCAAGATCTCACTTTTGGCAAAGCAAGAAACGCAGAGAACGACCCGCGGGCACTCGGGGGAACGCGAACACACAATGCCACGGAGGGAGCAGCTCCCTTCGCCCTTCGGCCACTTCACAGAGCGGCGAGGGGAACCGCGCCTCTGTCCGGAGCCGAGAGGGGAAGAGCCGCCCGGCAGGGCAGCGCTCAGCACCGCCCGACGCAGCCCGGACTCGGGGGAGCCGCAGAGCGGGGCTGCTCCGCCAGCACGGTGACAGCGGGGGCGGCTCGGGAGCAGGCTGCCCCCATCCCCACTGCTTCCTAAAGCCGGCGGTGCCGGGATCCCCGCAGCCTTTGTCTTCTCCCGGTGAAAGTGCCCCCGTACCTAAGAAGCAAAGGGAAAGCGGCTCAGCGGAGCGGCTCCCCGGTGCTTACCTGTGCTCGGCTGCCGGTGGGCAGAGCAGGGCAGGGCTGTGCCGGGGTACGGGTGTGCGGACCGAGGAGGACGAGGAAAAGGAGGAGGAGGAGGAGGAGGAGACGCGCGGAGGCAGTGGGGGAATGCGCGGCCGGAGCGGGGACGCCGGGACCCCGCGGGCTGCGGGGCGGTGGGAGGGGCGCGGGGTGCCCGGGGCGGGGACGCGCGGAGCGCTGCGGGGGTGCGCGGCTGTGCCCGGGGCATCGTGCGGAGAGGGGGGAGATTGAGAGGGAGAGCCGACAAAGGCGGGGACAAAGGCGGGGGGACCCCGCAACCCACGCGGCGGAGGCACCGCGGCTGCAGCCGGGACCCCGCGGGGAAAGCGGGCGGCGAACCGCGCGGCAACGGCAGGGCGCGGTCCTCCCGCCGCAAGGGGGCGCTACGGCCGAGGTGACGTCACACGCCTGCGCCGCCAACAGCGCCGGGCCGGGAGAGCTGCGGTACGGGAGCGGTAACGGCGGTGCGCGGCTGAGAGCGGCGTGATGGGGGCGCGGAGGGGCGCGGCGAGCGGGCTGTGCTGAACGTGAGGCGGCCCGGGGGGAAGGAGGTTGGAGGCAGCCCGCGCTGTGTCGGCGTAACGGGGCCGTTCCTCCGTCCTCAGCTCTGGCGGGAGGCTGCGGAGAGCTGGGCTCGGCTCTGCTCCGGGTCGCAGCGACGACGGGCCAGAGAGTGCGGCCTTAAATTGCAGCACGGGAGGTGCAGGGTGGATGTTAGGGAAGGTCTGTGCTCAGAAGGAGCAGGGATGTGCTGGCACAGCCGCACAGGGAGCGGTGGGGTCACCGTGCATGGTGGTGTTCAGTGAGATGAGGCACTGAGGGATGTGGGCACGGTGGGTTGGGTTGGACTGGATGATCACAGGGCTCTTTTCCAGCCTTAATGCTTCTAAGATTTTGCTTAGAGAAAGATAGAAGCTGTTACCTCCCTATTTTGTGAAATAATTCATTAGAGATCTGAAAACCACGTCTCGTTGCAGCTGGAGCAGCTTGGCAGTCGGTAACTAAGCAGCTGATAGGAGCAAGCAGGGCTTGAGAGCTCCGTGTAAGGTGTCTGTGTTCCTGGTGGAGCTGGAGGCATTTAAGAACACGTCAGTGGCGGTCTGCATGCACACAAAGAGGATGACAAAAATAATGAAACATTGAAACTTGCAATCAGCAGTTCTGTATGTTGCAGCCTAAAATACACACGAGATACCGACCTGTTGGGATGCTGAGCTCCAGCTGCTTGATTCTTTGATACACAGTGCTCCATTTGGCCACCGAATGTGCTGCCCTTGTCACAAATTCCTGCAGGACAGATTCCACGTTAGGTGAATGATCTGGTGGCGTGGGGTTTGTGAGGAGCAGGGGAGTATGTGGGATGTGGAGTCAGTGGGAAGTGCAAATCCTGCCCTGAATGAGAAGAGAAGCTCGCAGTGTGAGCAGTGAGACAGAACATGAGAAGATGCTGTCTTCATTTTTTGTACTACTGGTGATTTTTGATCACATGCTTGAATCTGTCACAGTGAGCGCCTTGGGTTTGTGTACATGTGCTTGTCACTGAGCTCAGAGAGCAGCTTGTTGGCATCAGGGAGGTGAAGCGATCCCTCAGCTGTGTTAAGACCATAAAAGCCAGAGGATGAACATTCTTCTTGTGCTGCTTTTCAGGTTCTGGGCAAGATGACCACGCTCACACGACAGGACCTTAATTTTGGGCAAGGTAATGTGTTTGTGCTGCACTGAGAACTGGACGCCTGCAGGATGCTCCAGCCCTAAACTTCCCTCAGCTAGGAAGGAGACGAGATGTGTGCTGGTGTCTTTAAAAACGTCCTATGAATATGGTATTGCTCTGCAACCTTCAGCATCTTTTACTTCTGTTTTTCAGTTGTTGCAGATGTTCTTTCAGAATTTCTAGAAGTGGCCGTTCATCTCATCTTGTACGTTAGAGAAGTTTACCCTATTGGGATCTTTCAGAAGAGGAAAAAATACAACGTGCCTGTCCAGGTAGGAGACCTTCATGGAGGTCTCACAGCACGAGCAGATTGTGGCCGACAGTAGCAGAGTGCTTCCCCTGCTGCGTGCAGGGATGTAACACAAAGGCAGGCTTCCTAGGAAATAGAGATCCTGTCTTTAGATCTCTCTTCTTAGCGTTGTCCTGGTTGGCATCAGAACACAGCTCTGTTTGCTCTCTTTGCTACAGATGTCCTGCCACCCAGAGCTCAATCAGTACATCCAGGACACGTTGCACTGTGTAAAGCCACTGCTTGAGAAGGTATGATCTTACCATGGACCTGTGCTGGGCAAATGTACTGCAAGTGATTTAGATAGAAAATAAAAGAATGTAAATACTGCTCTCATCTCAAAATGTTTATTTATGTACTTGCCATACACAATATACTTGCTTTTAAAGTTACTAATGGAGAATAAAAACAATCTTAATTCTTCCTTGCAGTCAAGGCATGCTGCTGAACGCTGGCATTCAGTTTGCTTCTAATGCATAAACATGAGGATCAGTCTCTGTATTTTCAATAAGCTCATCCTACACGTGAACTTAAACGTGTTCAAAAGCAGAACATTGAGTTGAAACATCCATCTGGCAGGAGAACAGTTAAGAGTGCTGTGCTGTAAGCCAGAAAGCAAAGGTGGTTTGAACACAAGCTTTTATGAGAGAAAAGTGTGACCACATGTCACGTTGCAAACCTTGCTGCCACCCCACATCCTGCATTCTCTTCTCTCTGCAGACATCACACTGCATGTAGAACCTGGCAGTAGGACAGGGCTCAAGGTTTGGATAACTGCTGGCACTGCTCCACAGCAGATAAACGTACTCTACCAGAAGTGAAGCTAACTGGGGGCAGAAGACAGCTTGTTTTAAGGAAGGGCCTTCTCTAACTGCAGTTATTCTTCCAGAATGACGTGGAGAAAGTTGTAGTTGTAATCCTGGATAAAGAGCACCACCCAGTGGAGAGATTTGTCTTCGAAATCACCCAGCCGCCCCTGCTTTCCATTAGGTAAAGATTCCATTCCCATGCTTTCTCACAGCATCCAACCCCCGTGTCCTTAGAGATGTTCTGGAAGATGCTCCAGGCCCCGGTACTTTGCTTTGTGCCACTAACAACTGCTGTCTCAACAGTTCAGAGTCCTTGCTGTCCCACGTGGAGCAGTTACTGCGTGCCTTCATCCTGAAGATAAGCGTGTGTGATGCTGTGCTGGACAACAATCCCCCAGGTAAGCAGGTGCACACAGCCCAGTGACATGGATCTGTTCTGTGGGAGGTGATTACAGGCAGTGTCTGAGCCTCTGTTGGTCGTCCCCTGATCCACAGCCTGCCCTTTCTCTTACAGGCTGCACCTTCACAGTTCTGGTTCACACACGAGAGGCTGCTACACGCAACATGGAGAAGATCCAGGTGATAAAGGTAAGTGGTATCTTTGGCTGCCTTGTCACAGGCAAGCTGCAAAGACTGGAATTGAAGAATTCTGGATTCAGTGAGGTTAAGGGCTGCTAGATGGCTAGCTTTTACACGATGCAGTTCATGGCTTTGCTTTGAATGTGTTACAGTTTGCGCTGGTGAGGTGACTGAGCACTTCTACCACACACCAGCTGCAGGCAGTAGCTGCTTTGATGCCCGAATTAGACTGTGCCAATACTTCCTGCACAGTGCCATCCCCATCACTTCACGTACTGACCTAGCACTGAGAAAGTGAGCTCACCTTCTGGGGCTGCCCACCTCTCTGTACATAAAGCTCCTTGTGTTCCTGCCCTAGGATTTCCCATGGATTCTTGCTGATGAACAGGATGTGCACATGCACGACCCCCGGCTTATCCCACTGAAAACTATGACTTCTGACATCTTAAAGGTGAGCAGAGCATTCTGGCCTGAGAGGTGGCTGAAACTACATGTAGTGTGAAGACTTCTCATATTAAAACAGGAAACCTTGTTAGTGAGGGGAGGTGCAAACTCTTCAGACTGTTCTCCATCTGGCTATCAAGCAGAAACTGATACTTGTTTTGTCCTCCAGATGCAGCTTTATGTAGAAGAACGAGCCCACAAAGGCACCTGATTTCAACTCTTCCTTTTCTTCAAGCCTCATCAGATCTTCCAGCGGAGTAAGATCTCTCACCAACCATACCTTGATAGCCCAGCCTCCTCAGCTGGCCTTCTGGATGAATGTAGAGCAGCTGCTGCCTCTTTATTTCAAGTGCTCTTACCAGTGTATATAGAACTGACTTGGAATGTGGAGCCAGAGCCTGTTCCCATGTACACTCATGTGTGAGAGTGAGTAGAGGTTTCATTACAGTAATCCCTGGGGTAGGATACAGCTGACTGCGGTCGGCTCATTGTACAAATCCAGTTCTTGCCTTAAACAGGACATCTCCATTGCACACTGGTAGTGCTAACCAGGGATCTGCTGTGTGCTCCACTAGAGCAATGGTCTGATACCATGCGCGAGTGAGGCCTTATGTAGCATCTGTCCACTGTGACTGTCCCAAGTAGTCTTCAATAAATATCAAGTTTTACTCCAGTTGAAACAGGCTCAATTCTGTCCAAATCAACCGTTCTTTCAGTGAAGAAGCATTTTTATTTTGTATGTAGAGTTTCCATCACCTTTTCACGTCTTCTCTAGGACAAGGCTGGGATGTGTCAGTTCCTATGAAGGGCTGTACCACCTTGGTCTCCCCTTGCCACAGGGAAACCTTCACACAAAAGCTGTTAGAAACACAGTGGGATGTGTCTGTGCTGCAAGGACACTTGTCAGCTGTCTCACTCTTAGCAGACAGCAGACAAGGGAAAACACTGTTATCCTGCCTCTGTCAAAGGAGATGGAAGAAAGCCTTAATATCAGCCCCATGCATACAGGGGTAGAAGAAATGGTACACAGAATGTGAGCTGAGCTTGTTGGACAGAAAATTTGGTAAAACAGCCAGCACAGCACCTGCCTGCTTTCTCCATGCAAAAAGTGCAAGAACACCACATCTCCAAGTTGTCTGTGGCTTTAACATTTTATATAAGGTTACTGATCAGTACAAACCAAGTTCTTTGGTAGTACAATGGTAATATGGAAAAAGGCAGTACAGTCCAAAGGCACTTAGGTTGTCAGGTATCCACCTTAAGGGATTCCTTCCTCCTCTTTGTTCATTCCAACAGTAACGGGCTGTATTTGGACAGGGAAGGCATCTACCACGTTGATCATGTATACTTACTAAGGAATTAAATATCAGTGACACAGCATATGAGGATAAAGAAGACTGAAGGTGGCATAATGCTGTGAAAGATACATCTTTATGCACGTAATTAAACTGAAACAGAAAAATACCATAGTATTACAGTCTGTTTGTAGCAGAGTCCTCGAGACAAGGGTTGATAATCCGAACTGAAAGATTTTAGCCTTGTTTTCATTAAGTTGTATAAACAAGAAAGAGTTTCCAGTTAAGACTGCTATGTACTTGTGCTACAGCCAAGTGCTGTTCACTTTAGGTGTCATATTTAATTGCCCTCGTCTTCCTCCTATAGAAGGGCACCAGGAATTGTCACTGCCACAGTGAGGGAGGACAGATGAAGACAGAAGTCCTTCCAGAGGGCTGGGCCTGCAGAAGTTCTGCTTGCAAACAAGGAGAGCTAGCTGCTCGTATTCCACATCAGCTGTGCAAGACAAAGCCAGGATATTCACCCAGAGAGTACAGGCAAATAAGTGCACCTGAAACCAGCTGGTCACAGTCCTGAGGTAAAAGAGAACACTTATATTGTGTCTTCATTTGCCTTCAATGTCTGTGGCCCAATGGTGATGCTGCTGTTTGTCACCCTGATCCCGTACCATCCTGCCCAGAATTGGGTGTCTTGGCCTCCATGCTGAAACCAGATGTAACGAACTCCAGCTGGGTAATTGCTGAAAGTGTGGGAAATCTGTAGAGAAAGGAAATTCTGCTTATTTTGTCTAAATAATCCAGCAGTGACATTGAAGGTGAAACAATTTCAGGTATAGAGCCCTGGGCTTAGGAGAAGCTCGTTCTAAAATACCTTCCAATAAAAGCATGCATGACATCACTTTCTTTGAGGAAGGATAAAATAAAATAGCCTCCCATATTTGACTCATAGGATTACAGGGCAGAAGGGTAAACATAATTTAAGCTTGGTACGTGACAGAGGTAACAACATAAAAGGGAGTGTACAGCCACTCAAACCAAGCCATTCAAACCAGTCAAAACAAACAAATTAGGAAAAGTAATGTCTGCAATACTTTCACTTACACCCATGCAGTTGTTTTAAAACAAAGCTTTTTGATCCAACATAAACAAGAACTGTGCTCCTGCAACTCGGTTACTTGGACAAAAACTCAAATAAAGAACAGAAACGCTTGAAGAAGCCCAGTCAAAATAGCACAGGGGCCGGGGGGGGTGGAATCTCACACACCTACAAACTGAACCTAGATCTTTCAAAGCTTCTTCAGTGTTGTCAACAGCAAGGACTGGCTTACATTTTGTCTTATGTCAGAGCAACTTGGGGCTTTACACAAGATTCTTATCACAATGTGGATGTAAAGCTGCCTTCTGCAGTGCTGCTCCTTACCTCTCTCCACATTGCGTCACTCCACTGCTCTATGACCACTGGCTCAGGACAGAACTCCTCAAGCACAATGTAGTTTTCAGAAAGCAGCCTCACTCTGAGCTCATAGCGACAACCACAGTCAAATCTGGCAGCATACCTACAGAGCAAGGGAGAAATCAAGGAGGAGGGCTGTACACACAGCATTGTTTTCCTTACTGTCCAGAAACAGTCTCCAACTGGAACTGAGGAAAGGGATGTCACCCCCATAGCTATGGAGAGCACAGCTATCTTTTCTTCGCAGGATTGCCACCTTATAGCCCACTGAATAAACCAAGATTTAGCCTACGCTTTACTGAAGAGCTACAGATCCCAAAGAATTAATTTTATAGCACAAAAAGCTTCAGAGGCCCAGCTTACATCGAGGTCCTAACGCTAGAAATTCTAGTATTCAGTTCTTACCAGTCCTTGACTACAATTTCAGGCCGTTTTTCATCCATCAGCTCATTCCAGTACCCTTCTTCCTGCAGGGTAATCAGTTGAGACTTGAAGCATGGCCTGCAACAGAAACAGAAGCATTCAAAAGCATCTCTCAACATCAGTGCTTTCCCTACCAGACTGACTCTCACTGAATGCTCACCCAGACCCTGAGTACCCATGAGGCTGACAGGGCTGAGGTGTGCTTTTATCCAAAGTTCGAGCAGAAACAAACTGCTCAGCTTCGCCCCAGATAAAAGGAATCCAACAGAGTGGATCAAGAAGGGTTCCTATGCACACATAACAGATATTGATTATGGAAAAGCAGTTGATCTTCCACTATTGATGGCTTTCAGTGCAAGCTGAAAGGTCATGCAAACACCTCATGCTTCTGGAGGTTAAAGCTTTGACTTCGTCAGGTGAAGATATCTGATCAGTCTGCCAGACCTCAACTTCTGTCCACCACATTTAGTAGAAGAATGGAGAAATTCAGCACACGATGTGATTCACTTCTGCAACACATTGCTCTCTTTAGATTGAGGAGTATTAAGAATTAAAATCTTTTTTTCCCCTCTCTCTGGGATAAGGCTCCTTGTCCTGCCTCGCACCTAACCACAGCGCTCCTGCAGCCAGGAGGAAGGAAGCAGTTTTCCTCCAGTTGCACTTTGCAGCTCTTACCCAAACGAAGTGACAAAGTATTTGTGGACTTCTGAGTCTGGCAGCTCTTTCCCCAGAGGTCCAGGCAGATCTTCGATCTTCCACCTATCTCCTCCATTCTGATCAAGTTTCCAGTGCGTAAAGTTCTCTAAAAACAGATTTCAAAGATCAGCATTAGGACTTCAGTTTTCTGCAGCATCTCTGCTTTCCTTAAAGAGAGCTACTTATGCTGGTGAATTTTCAGCTGTGTTTCTCTTGTACTTAAGGCTGACCTTTAGCACTGTACTGTCATTACTTTCAGCATGGCTGTCAGCAGCTGTGACAGAGCTGGGCACAGCACTGCAGGTGGGGACAGAGAAGGGCAGTTGCCCTCCCTGCCCACTGCCACCCCTCTACTGATGCAGCCCAGGATGCAGTCGGCCTGAAACCAACTGCTGATGGTTTCACTGCTGCATTACATCTTGTGACTTACAGGGATTTAACCCAAACAGCATTACGCAGCGTTTCCTCGTGGATCTGACTCAGTGCCACAGCCCCAATAATAGTGAGGCACTGCAGGGCACATCCCAACTGCTGGGAAACTCCATAGGCCCTCTACCAACAAACCAACCTTCGGCTCGGGGGTTTTTGATCAAGTTCCTCTTCAGCTTGCACAGCAGGTAGAACACCTTCCAGTCAGTGATGCTCCTGTCCAAGCTCTGCACGTAGAACCCCTCGCGTTGGCACTTGCGCTTCCAGAGGGTGGCGAGGTCCACCACGTCTCGCCATTGGGAGCACACCAGCCTGCACGCACGGAGCAGATCCCGGGCGGGCAGCAGGGACAGCAGCTCCACCAGCACATCCTCGGGGAGGTCACTGATGGTGGCCATGGCTGTGCAGAACCGACGGCAGACGGAGGGTTTCCAGGCAGCTGCGATACGGGGAATTCAGCAGGGGTTGCAGGGCTCAGAACGAAACCAAAAGCGGAGCTGTGCGCTGGGCAGGGGGGGAGGAGGGGCGAGCGGTCCTCGCTATCGCAGCCACAGCCCCACCTGCGCTCCGGACGCGGATGTGAGGCCGCGCTTCGCTCTTCCGCAGCGGGCGGGGCGCGGGGCGGGGAGCGGCGGGGGGGGACTGAGGGGAACCGGGAGCGACGCGGGGAGCGGCAGCAGCGGCGAGCACGAGGTAGGAGCGGCGGGACGGGGTGATGGGACAGGGGATGGAGGAGAAGAGAGGACCGACAGCCCTGGGTGGGGTTACCCTAGGAGTTCTGCTGAGGGTCGATCGCATTTTGCCCTTTAAAATCGCAGCATGGAGGGGAAAAAGGGAGAGTGAGAAATCCTCGTTGTTTCTCCGTAAAAATAATAGCAACAGGGATTTTTAAATGATGTTTTCCCTCTGTTGGCTGTGGTACAGAGACAAGAGAGCTCGTGATGCCGTGTCCCTATTGCTTCCCTGCTTGCCCCACTCGCCGTGCCGTGTTTATGGCAGCAGCACGCTGGGATGCTCTGCCTGCCCTGCCTGCCCTGCTCAGCGATTTTTCTCTCCCGCAGTTTCGCTCTGTGCGATTCAGTGCAGCTTCCTCGCTTCAGCGCACGGCTGAGACAAAAGCGGTGTCAGTGCGTCCCGCTCTCTGTGCACGGCGCTCCTCTCTCCCCGCTCTGCAGCACTCTGCCCCGAAGCCCGCAGCGCTCACAGCGCCCATTGCTCGCACTGCCGCCTGACTGCGGTTATCGGGCCGTAGGATAAGGAAGATTTAAAGCACTCAGACCCGTGCTTTACGCGGCATCGTGACTAAGGAGATTCAGTGCTAACCCCGAGGGAAGGAAGGCCTTCCGACAGCCAGGCCCGAGTGCAGCCTAAGCAGAGGGGACCGATTCTGTGCTGACAGAGCACATCTATTCCTAGGTTAATTGTTATTTGTTTTAAGTTTATTCCAGTAGCTGATGCGTGGATGCGTGCCTGACAGCAGGAATTTGTCTGGTCCTGCATAGCCCTCCTCTATGGCCTTAGAACCAAAAAAAGCATCAGTGCAAAATGGGAATAACAATGTCCTTAGATGATGTGTGACCAAACACAAGGGGAGTGCTTCCCACATGACCACCAAGGGTCAGAGAAGACCCCATACAACCCCATGCAAGCACAGATGGGCAGGAAAGCAGCCAGAAGGGGGTGGAACATCATGCTTGTTTAACCCAATGCGTCTGTAGGCACTTAGAACCTTAAGCTACTCATGTGGTTCAGGGTAGTGAGCTAGCTAGGGGTCCCGAGGCCCTCAGGTCAGAAATACCCCCCGTTATGCTGCACCTGCCTTTCAGATAAACATATTTGTTTTCCTTTTTTTTCTAATGCGTTTGACATCATTAGTAACAGGAGAGCCCCTTCTGGGGGAACAGTGCATTACCACTTCTTCCCCCCTTTCTCAGAAAGCTCCATCCAGGGGGCCAAGGATGGAGTCCCTCCCTGAAGCAGTGCTGATCAGAATCCTGGCTTCCATACCTGCGGTGGATCTGGTGCTGGCGTGCCGCCTGGTCTGCTGCCAGTGGAAGAACCTGATTGATGGAGCAGCTCTTTGGATCCTGAAGTGTCAGCAGGAAGGCTTCGCTGGAGCTGAGTCAGAGGAGAATGCGGAGAATTGGCAAAACTTCTACTTCTTGAGTAAGAGAAGAAGAAATCTCATCAAGAACCCCTGTGGCGAAGGTGAGAGATGAGCATAACAAGGCCCAAGCCTTCAGAAAACTGGGCACCTCCAGTCTTTAAAAAAGACCTTGGTTGCCATCAGGATGCATTTTCTTTTTGCCCCAGAGACAAATCACTTCATGCATGCAGCCAAACCATTTACTGGGCAAGAAGGCCTTCCATCAAAGCAGCCTTTGTGAAGGGCTCTCCATGACATCAGCTTTATGTGACCCCTGCAGGAATGTGAACCATGCTTTGCAGAACTATACTGGTAGGTGGCACCTGGGCTTCCAGATGGCTTTTTGCCAAACCTCAACCTAAAAGATAAGCCTTCCCCTGCTCAGGAACTCATTTGCTCTTAGCTCAGCAGGCATTTCATGCTTCCTGCCTTGCAGTTTGTTTGTGTCTTGCTTATTCCAACCCATATCACTGAGCTGTGCACACTGCAACACTTGCTGTTATTTTATGATCTCTGAACTCTACTTGCCATCTGCAGGATGTTTAGATAGCAGCAGCCTCATAACCCAAGCCTCATAACCCAAGCAGCAACACAATACATTTCACACCTCATAGACCAAAGCACAACACAGACCATCAACACAACGTTTTCGTTTTTCTTATTTAAAAGGAAGTGATTTTTCTGCAAGCTCTTCTCTCAGACTAAGAGGAGAACAACAGTATAAGGCCCTGCAGCTTCTTGCTGTACAAGCATTTAACTATGTGCTAAAAGCTTTGAGAACACCACCAGGAAGAATAGAAAATGAGGGATTTAATATGAGTTATTTTTCAACAAAAAGAATGAAACAAAGGAAAAAGAAATAATCAGGGAATCAGCAGTTCTCCCCAGGTATTTCTATAATAAGACACAAAAGCACTGAGGTGGAACACCAAAACCATTTCACTACTCTTTTTTAAAGTAGACCCACATAGACACATCCATTTCAGTGGGGAATGCTGATGTTTGTTACCATTTAACCTAAATGAAGTGTTGCTTTTTGCCAAGCCTCCACTTAAAACATCTCATTGTGTGATCCACATACAGACTTGGACGGCAGTGTGTCTGTTCCAAGCTGCAGAGGGGTCCCTATGGGAGATGACCGGGCTCTCCAGGCCCACAAACTATGACCATTCTTTCTTCCATTTGCAGAAGACCTGCAGCACTGGGGAGAGGTAGAGAATGGAGGTGACGGCTGGAAAATTGAAGAGCTCCCTGGGGACTTTGGAAAAGAATTCCCTAGTGAAGAAGTGCATAAATACTTTGTTACATCTTATGAGTAAGGCTGCTCATTTCTCTTAATCAGGAGAGAGGATAATTTTGTTTTCTCCAGCCTCAGAGAGCTGGTGGTATCCATTACCCTGTTATGTTTCAGGTGGTGTCGAAAGTCTCAGGTCATCGACCTTAGAGCTGAGGGCTACTGGGAAGAGCTGATGGATACAACCCAGCCAAAAGTTGTGGTGAAAGACTGGTAAGTAGCAAGGATGCCCTACAAGTCCAGCAGAAAGCCTAGAGAGAGCAGGAATGGTGTACACCAGGCTTGGAGCTGTAGCTCTCATCTCACTGCGTCGCCTTTGGTGTCATTATAGATGTGAGACAGGGCTTGATCTTGACTCAAAGAACCGCTGGTAGTCTCCCCAGTCATCACCCAAGCTGTTGGTGTATATGGCAGCCATCTAAAGCTCTTCTGGTGAATGAGGGCAGGCAGTGGGTTGAAGTAGAAGTGTTCATCCAGGCAAGGCTGCTGCTTGGGGCTCCCTGCAGGTACGCGGGACGCAGCGACGCCGGCTGCCTCTATGAGCTGTGTGTGAAACTGCTGTCAGAGAACGAGGACGTGTTGGCCGAGTACAAGACTGAGACCATTGCCATCCCAGAGGACAACGATGCCAGCTGGACTGAGGTGAGTGACGGCTGTGGTTTCATGCAGGTGACACTCAACCTGCATGAACCAGGAATGTTTTCAAGCAGACAGAAGCAGGAGGGGTTATTCTGGAGGAAGAGAAGGTTCTATCATGGGCTGTGATTGAACACAGGGGTTATACAGCAAGCCTTACATAAAACTTGGAAGCTCGCTGAGACATCACTACAAGTCTGTGGGACTACAGGAGAGACCCCTCTGGAAGCATTTGATGGCTTCTGAACAGACTGGGGTCAAAGCTCCTCCCAGTAACTTCTTTCTCACTGTAACTGTCCTCATTGCTACCCAAGCTGGTAGGTTGGATGGGGCAGGTGGAGCTGAAGGCCCAGTGAAGGTAAGGAGTGGGTTCACGGTAGCTTGACACTATTTTGTCTCTCAACCTCTAGATCTCCTACACCTTTTCTGACTATGGTCCTGGGGTCCGCTTTGTCCGCTTTGAGCACGGAGGCCAGGACACACTGTTCTGGAAAGGATGGTATGGTGTACGTGTTACCAACAGCAGCGTGACAGTGGAACCATAGTCAAGCTGAACAGGGGCCTGCTTGCCAGAGCTGACTTCCCTCAGGCCATCCCATGTGCTCTGGATGGATTCTGCATGGTGCTGCTTCTGGGCTGTAGAGCATATGGCTCAGGTATGAATGTGCTTGGCAGAGACCACCATCCTTCTCTCCTTAAGGGTACTATGCAAAGAATAGCAACAGACTTATGAAACCACCTTACGCTCAGTCTCACCCTTTGCACTGGTGCTCTCTATCACATGAGATCACCTAGCTCTGGAAGGTTATCACCCCAGCTGCCAACCCCCAGCCCCACGTGCCATTGCCTGCCTTACCTGAGCGTGGCTGCCAAGCAGTGCTCTGGATCTCCATTTCAGTTTTGGGTGATGATAATGCCAAGCAATGGGGATTGGATCCCTTTGTCCTACAATGCTCTCAACATCCACTTGTAGGGGGAAGTGGTGGGAGCTGAATTCACTACGGTATCATTGTGGTAATTGGTTGATGGTTGGACTTGATGATCTTAGAGGTCTTTTCCAACTTTAATGATTCTACGGTTCTCCATGGGGCTTCATTTGGCTCCTAAAAAGCAGCTGAGGATAATTGCTGGGAGAGAGACAAGGGCTTAGGGAAACAGAAGCAAATTGAGGAAGGGGCTCAGGAGCACAAATAACGCATCTACCTGTATGCCTCCTGGCCTCTGCGTGCTTCATGCCAAACTAGTACTGCTCTTTGCAGGCAGGAGATCCACGCAATATTCTTCACACAGAAACCTGTCATTACCTCCATTTGATCTCAGTCCTTCCTGCCCACTACGTCTGCAGAAAGTACTCATCTGCCTTTGCTGCAGATGCTTACTAAGACAGCACTTTGTATGTATGCCCACCAGTGCCTCTTGCTGTCACTCAGGGCAGTGAGCCACCATCCTGAACAGAGATATCTAAGCTTACCTGAGCCAAGCCTGTCCCCTGCTGCCTTGGGCACAGCTTTCCAAACCCCAGCCAAGCCAGAGTACAGGCAAACATAATAAAAGGAGCTGTATGTGGATCTTTGCTTGTGTGCTGAGTATTATTTCTTGTGCTGAAGCAGTGGAGAGCAGCAGCAGGCAGAAATATACTAAAAAGGTCATGGGAGTTCATGAAAGGCATGGAGAAGGTCCAGGAAGGCTCCTACAACACCCAGCTCTGACCCACAGGTATCTGCAAGTATAGCTCTGCTGTGAGCTCCGCTGTTCTGCACCAGAAGAGACCAGAACCAGTCAGCTCTTTCCATTACCTTGCACACAGTCACACAATGACAGCACAGCTTTATTCAGCACAGCGTTTAGTACAGCTGACCCCATTTCTAAGTTAATATTCAGCTCACTACCAGAACCCTGCCCCAAGGTCCTGGCATGTCCCCAAGGATCAGAGCAGCGAGGGGATCAATATACCAGGTTTGGATGCAATTGTTAAATTGAATCTTTCCTAAGCCATCGTGTTATGGTCAGGATAAAGCCCAGGATTAAGCTTGGGATTCAGCTCCTGTGTCCCTTGTAAATACAGGGTAGGGCCACAGTCCCCACTTTAGGCTTATCTAGGCTGAGCCACTCAATGCACACAGCTCCCTTACAAGAAATGCAACTGTCAGGGTCTTTCCTTCCCCTGATGTTCACACTGATTGCTAGAGGCAGCCTGGCTGTCCTGACCTTCCCACTCAGTTTCAAGAGATGCTTCCCAAGACACTCCATGTCTTGCAGTTTCATTAAAGAAAACGGCTCTGCTCCAGAATCTGCAGAGCTGCCACTGACTCCTTGCACTCAGTGCTAGAGCTACAAGGCAAGTAAGGAAAGTGGGTGCCTGTGTACTTGGAAAATAATCTCACTTGCTCGATCCATTGCAAATATTTTACTCCTAATGCCTTTTGGTCAAACACATGAAGTGTGAATGCACTGAAATCTGCCCTGCATTCATCCATCCCACTCAGCTTCTGTCCAAGGCTGAACAGAGCACAGGAGCTGAACGGCCTCTCACGCATCACAGACTTCATGGGAATGAAGACCGTGCAGCTTCATAGGACTAAAGAAAGTAAGTACAGCTGTGACAAAACAGCTCAGCTGCATTAATGCCTTCTGCCACTAAAGGGCTCTATCACATGTAGCTTCAGTGACCAAGGGAAGGTTTCTAATGCTGTCTGTTTTGCTGACCCTGGCTACTACACATTAGATTTTGGGAATAGTGATGAACAATGCAGACATGCAATATACCATACAAGAAAAAAAAAAGATATTTCTACAGAAATAATTCACAGATACTTTATCAACCAAGTATTCAGAAAGCTGAAGAAGAAAAAAAGAAAGGAAAACACACAGAAAGCTCTCCCTCCACTGCTGAACACAGGAACCAAAGCTCAGAGCTTTTGGCAGCCAAGATGAATGAACACATCTCCAACCCTGGCTGCTTTACTGTTCAGAGGCACAAAGAGAAGCCTCAGTCACAGCACTGCACACAGGCCTTCCTGCTGTCAGCATCTCACATCCTGGCTAGCCTGCTGCACCTTGTTGTCAGTAATTTTCTATCCCACAAAGCCCACCACAGCCAGTCCTGGCTGTAAATACCATTATACTTAAAAATGGTGGCTGTTTTGTTCCTCCAAAATAGCTTCTGCAGTTGGTGTCTTGCAGAGGAACAGAAAAGAGCAAGACAGGGCCCTGGCAAGGAAGCACTAACATACATCTCTTGTCAAGTCTAATTGAATTTTTCTATAAGGAGCATCTATTATTACCCACCTGGGGAGGCTGTGGACAGATGGAGGAGTGTGCTCCCCCACCAGGCATTCAAAATTGTTTGAGGATGAGGGGAGGAGGAGAAAAACAACTCCCTGTTGCTTGCAGCCCAGCTGTTCTAGCCAATTTAAAAGGGAGGATAATTTAGGAGATTGATTCCCCCTAAATCAAATACTTTGTAGAGTCTGGGAATGGCCCTTCCTGAAAGCCGTGATAGTGGAGTACAGAGCTTTTGGCCTGAAGCTGCAGCAGAGCTGAGCACAACCCCAAATAGGATGGGAGGCCAGCAGCCTTGTATTTGGCCCACAAGGCTGTCAGGAGTAGAGATGTTCCAAATAACCAGCTAACACTGAGCTGGTGAACAAACATCCCCACAGCTCACATCTCTTCCTGCAGCCCAGATACAGCCATAGGGTGAGAGGGAACGGCCTCAAGTTGCACCAGGGGAGGTTCAGGTTCAATTTTAGGAAAAACTTCTCTGAAAGAGAGGCTGGGCACTGGAAGAGGCTGCCCAGAGATGTGCTGGGGTCACCATTACAGGAGGCATGTAGGTGTGGTACTTAGGAATGCAGTTTACTGGGCAGTACAGGCAGCAGCTGGACAGTTGGGCTGGACAGTCTTAGAGGTCTTTTCCAACCTTAATGATTCCATGACTCCCACTCCTTCCTTGCTGCCTCCCAACAAGCAGGTACCCTGGGGAGGAAGGGGTGAGCAACTCCTCCATCCATCCAGCTGGTTTGTCCCCATGTCCCTGGGGCACTGCCCAGCCTGCTCAATGTCCCTGTTAGGAAAAAAAAGGGCTTCATGATGCTTTCCCACGGGAAAGGTGCGAATAAGAGAGAGAACATCCATAACGAATTCAACTGGGAAAAGCCCTGTGGGAGCTGGAAAGCATCACTGCTACACTGAACAGCTGCACAAGAGCTGAGCTCTGTGCACAGCAGCCTGGAAGGAAAACATACTCAGATAAACCAAAACAGCTTAAGAGAACATACATAGTTAATGTTGCTGTGCAAAGGGGGAGATGGCAAAGGATCATAAAATAAAGCAAGCACACAAGCAGAGCCATGGTGACAGCAGAGGGCACTCAGGCTGCAGGCAGAGAGCTGGGAGCCAACCTGAGCTCAGGTGCTGCTGGCTGCTGCTTTTGCAAGCAGGAGATATTCAGAATAACTGCAAGTGTTTGGCTCTGCCTTGTACTCACTGTACCCATTTCTAATCACTACACTGCACCTCTTCTTGTCTCAGCAGTGGAATGAGCTGCGGGACTGTCTGCATCCCCATCTACACTGTGCCCAGGCACTCTGATACCTTCCTTGCATGCAAAGTTCAACAGCCCTCCCCAGGAAGATGGGAGTCCCAGCTGTATTACATGTGCCCTTGGCTAACCTCCCTTGCAGGCACTTAGAGCAACTCATCTGGAGCTGCCACCAGTGCAAACCCATTAACTGCAGTGCAATCAGCATTCCCAGAAGGACAGAGAAACCACGATAAAGATGTAAGTGTGCTCACTGGACTGATTAACGGTGGGGAACATATCTCTTGCCACTCTGATCCTGCCAGACGGACCACTTTTACAAGGGCAGTGAACCATCCCTGCAGACACCCAACGTCAGACAGGATGGGCCTCTGAGCACTGACGGAGCTGTGGGTGTCTGCTCACTGCAGGGTGGCTGGGGGCTGGCCCTGATGACCCTTAAAGGCCCCTTCCAACCCAAATGATTCTGTAGTTCTGGCTAATGGGACGGGTTTACGAGCACTCAGGTATGTGCACCGAAACACATCCACAGGTGTAGGCAAACACACAGGCAGATGTACATCCACAGCCATGTAGAACTTCAGAACCCACCAATCTGGCCTCCCTGTGCTGCCAGGAACAGGCTGCCCTCAGACAGTGACCATCACAGAGAACTGGCACAGCCTCTCACCTGGTGTTTAACCCATCTTTGACCTCAAGGACCACACAGCACTTCCCTTTGGCTTCCCATAGGTCTTCTCCAGGTGTACACCACAGGTTGCTGTTGCATAAGATTTAGGAGACAAGAGCTGAAAGCATCAGCTCTGAGCTCACCACCCTGCAGAAAGCAGCTCGTGCTCCTAAGCGTGAAGCTGCTTTTCTGAGGAAGAGGGATGGTGTCAGAGCTCTGCTACTTGCAATCCTTCCAAAAGGTCCTGGAGTCAAGTGGAGCCATTTCCACCTCGCCACCCACCGTGCAGCTCCTTCCGTTAATATTGACATGTGAAGCATTGCAAAACGAAGCAGATAAAATCCTGATCCAGATATGAGAAACGACTTTGCATTTTTTTGTAAATTAAACCTAATCTTGTGTTGACTCTGCTATACAAGGAGAAATAATGAAGCAGATTAAGACGAGATCTTGTTCGCTCTAGCTGAACAAAAGCCAATTAATTGCCAGTAGGATTATTGTGAATTCTCTCTCGTCTTACACAAACACAATCAGATACAGTCTAGGTGCTGCTGGAGCAGCCCTGCTTATTGGAGCGATAACTCTGCCTGGACAGAGGAATACACAAAGGCTCAGTTAAACCACACAGGATTCTGCCTTGCTGTTTTCCCCAGTGACTCTTGCCAACTTGCAAAGGATGGAGATGCATTAAAAACGAACAGCCACAAATGGCCTTCCCACACACAAACCCACAACATGCAGCCTTGCCTACTCCAAGTCCTCTTCTCCTGGCTACAGGAGAGCCTTCCCCTTACCTGTACATCACGGGACTGAATCATCTAGCCCTTTCCCAGAGCTTTTCAGCTACGATAGCTTTCCTCTTTCTGCAAATCCTTTCTTAGACTTTCAATGTGTCAAAATGTTTCATTTCCATTAGCCAAGCCAAATTCTCTCAGCAGAGCCTCCTTCCATGTGCCATGACAACCAGCAGGGACATCTTTCCTGCCTGCTCCCATCTGGCCTGTTCCCAATATGAAACCGATCTGGAGATGTGGCACTGAAGGGCATGGGTTAGTGGGCATGGTGTTGATGGCTGGACTGAGTGAACTTGAAGGTCTATTCCAGCCTTAATGATTCTATGAGCAGAGACTGGCAGGGGTTGGAGCTGGATGGTCTTCGAGGTCCCTTCCAACTCAAGTTATTCTTAGACCACAAAAACAGTTGGAAGGGAGAAGCAAATCCTAGTTCAAGTTGGGACAAGTTGGGTAGGAGCAGACCACACCAGCACTCCTGTAAAGGGGGAATGGCAGTGCTCAACTTGGAGCTCAGCTCACCACCACCCATCCCCACCAGTCCGTGGCAATAAGGAGGGGTTC